CACACACACACACACATGGACCGATAAAAGTAAATTTATGCAGTGTAAGCAATTGTGCCCCAACAGAATTTTTCTGTTTTGGGATGGAATAATTGTTCATTAGCCATCAGACTATCATCTGCTTCTCGCTATGAAACAATTATGCCGAAGTCATCACCATGAAGGCGATCACTATGAAGGCAGCGTTTTCCAGCTCATTTGACAGACGGCGATCGCTTGGAGCACAAAATTCCAATTGTAATATGTCGATTGCATAAGAGAATTATTTTCGAGAACACAAACGCCTCTCTATCGCCTAATCGGATACTGGTGATTCAAGCCGGGACGGGACGGATATACATCAACGGAATTTAATGGAGAATTTAATGGGGGAATTTCCTGAAAGCGAATTGGCTCAAGCGAAAAAAAACAACGAAATCTTGAAAGATATCTTACATTCGAATCAGTATTGTGATGGAACGCCAATAGGTGGTGCGTTAAAATACCGCCTCGAGCATCAATTAAGCTATTGACCAATGAAGTTTCACCCAAAAACTGACCACTACCCGTTTTTCGTCGTTTATACACACGAAATCTGACCAGAGTATGTGGAAGAGCTTCTGAAATATGGCAAAAACTTTGCGAATTGTCTTTTGAAGCTTTCGAAGTGAACACTTGGAAATTACGTGTCTTTTGATGCGTTCATCATTCGATCGAACGAACCGATAGGGGCACGTCACTGATCGACGATGTTATTATGTATGAGTGCAATATGTTGACAACAAGTCAAATTGCCGCTATCATTGCTTCACTTCCTAGCGTTATCCACTGTGATCGGTATGCATTTATATTCAAGTAGATGAATGAGCCACTCTCGCGTCAATCAGATTACCGATGCATGAATCGTCAGTCAGCACTAAAAGTGCATGCCAGCACTTACGATTAGAGAATGTGATCACAAACCAGAGGATTTGATCACTGAGGACTCGCTTTTAATATGTATCCAAACTTCAGTGAGCACAACTATAGAGTATGCTCTATATGAAATTTTCGAGTTATCTCGTGGCAATGCAATTGCTGAATGCGAAAGTTACGATTCTGAATGCAATCTCCGAACTGGACATGAAAATTCCAACTGGCCATTCAAGCGGAATCCAAACGCTCAGCTCCTCAGCTCGAAAGGGCCAATAAATGCATGAATTGCGGATAAAATT